GGAGGGTGGCCCTCCTCTGACAAGAAACCCTGCCAACGCCAGGGCTCTGGACCCGCTGTGGGCTCTGGACCCGCTGACGCACTGGCGACGGTGCCCTGGACAGGATCGTCGCCGTGGGGCACGGCAGCCCCTCCATCCGGGAGTGGGCGTGGGCCTTGTGGCACACAGGGGCAGCCTGCACGCTGTGCCGCGCCTGCACGCCGCCGCCAGTGATGGAGACGGAGGACCCCACTTCTGGCGCTGCCGGTGCAGACAGCGTCGAGGGGGGTCGCGACGCGTCACGCAGATCGCAAACCTCCCTGCTGGCCCAGCTTCTCGTCGGCAGCTGTGCGCTCATGGATAGTGCAGCTGCAGCGGGCCGCTCTCGCACGGGTGAGGGGGTCCTGGGCATGGGACGTACGCTCCTGGGGGTCTCCTGTGCCGCCCGAGGACTCACCAGGCTCCCGCGAAGCTCGTTGTTCGATCGCACTGATCGGAACAGCAGCTGCCTGGGGGACGCCTGTGGCGACTGCCTCGGCGACGCCTGCCGCGAGGTGCTGACAGGCATGCCTGCAGCAGAAGACCGCTGCGACCTTGCGCTCATCTGGCAGCTCACGGCGCAGCTGCTGCCCCGGAGGGCGCCCGCGCACTGCGCCTGCCGCAGAGCCTCCAGCGACGGCAGAGTGGGCACGAGCGGCCCCGCCGTCCCCCCCGCTGCGGAAGACTGGCCAGAGGCGACCGGTGCCGCCTCCTGCGCCCGGAGCCGGAGGATCTCCGCGCGCGCCTGGTCCAGGGAAGCTCTCACGGCTGCCAGCTCGGCACGCGACGCGTCGCGCTGCGCCTGCAGCACTGCGGGCGGCACCCCCACGGGGGGGCCCTGTGGAGAGGCGCCGAGTACTGGAGCTCGTGCGCAGTTCTGGGCCACGCACACGACGCTTCGCCCCTGGCCGACCACCCCGCGCGGCGTGAACGGGCCCATGGGCTGCAGCGGTGCCACTGGGACCAGAGCCTGCGGCATCCACATCACAAGTGCAGCGGTAATGACTCCCTCGCGGGCAGCTCAAGCGGAAAAAAAACGGTTGAGCGAATCAGTCTTGAGCCTGAGACTACGGATCCACGTGCAAACGCATGCATCTAGAGGCGCATGTGTACGAAGATCCAGATCCCCCACCGCGTCGTCAGCACGTAGTGGGGTATCCCAAGGCTGTGAGCGGAAGAGGGAGTGCAGACTCTGACAACAAACACAAACACAAACAAACAAACAAACAAGCAAACAAACATGTAATAAACAAACGAACAAATAAACAAACAAACAAACAAATGAGTAAACAAACAAACAAACAAACAAACAGACTGACAGGTAAACAAACAAGCAACATAAACGAACTAATCAGCAAAAAAACATACAAACACATAAACGAACAAACCAACTGGACCCCCATCTCACGAAATTCCTGGGCATTATTGGGGTGAACCGCGAGAGCCTCCCAGGGCTCCAACTGTTGAGTCAGCCTCTGATGTTTCTGTAATGTTGGCCTCGGACGGCGCGCGCAGAACCAAGTGCCCAGGACCTCGCCCACCCAGGACGCCCTCGGGAGCACCTAACGACCCCCTGGAGACCCCTGAATAGACGAGCGCGTTCCACTACTCGCAAAGTAGCTACTCGCAAATGGCCTGGATCCCCTGCGAGGGATCTATGTACGATAAATCACATCGAGGCAGACATGTGCTTTTCGGACGCTTGCGAGTAGGCACTTTGCGAGTAGTGGAACGCGCTTGGTGACTGAAGGCCCCCAGGAAATCCTTGAGGCCCGCCAGAGGTATCCCAGAGAACCCCGGAGGGGCCTTCGGGGCACACCCTCCAGGACCCCAGTGCAGTCGGTTGTTTAGTATTTGTTTGCTGTTCTGCGGCTCAACCGTTCCGACTGCTGAGACGCATGATCACGATGTCAGAAATCCACCGACCCTCGCTTGCCGGGGGCGAAAAGCGTGTGAGATGACTGTCTGTCCCCCTCCTCCTTTCCCACATTAGGAAGGGGGGGGGACCAGGCACTCCCCAACGGACCCTGAGCGCTCTCCAGAGTCTCCAAAAAGCCCCGATACGGCCCAACAAGCGCCGAGACAATCCGAAAGAACGTTCAGACGGCCCAGGATAACCCCGCGACGGTACAGGATGGCTTCAAGCCGGCCTACGAGGCCGCCCAAGAGTACTCCCAGAGGGCCGCAGAGAGGACCCCAAGAGGCAAAAATCGGAACACTCCCTGAGGAAAGCATACAATTTCGACATGCACCCCTTTTTCTCCTTATCAGCGTCCACTACGGCAAGGAGCCCCCAAGATCGTCCCAAGACGGTCCATGAGGTTCACGAGAGGGCTCCAAGACGGCTCAATAGATCCCCAAGCGGGCCCCAAGACGGCCCCAGGGCCCCTTAATACAGCCCAAGAGGGCCCTAAGAGAGGCCCAAGAGGGGCGATACGAACTTCCTTCCTCGAGTCTTCCTCGCCGTGATGGCCACAAGAGCCCCTCAGTGACCCCCGAGACGCCCCCACGAGGCCCCAAGAGACTTCAAAGAGGCACCCAAGAGGCACCCGTGGATCCGAGAGGCCCCCAAGAGCAGGGGATGACCTACCTCGCTGGAGAAACGAGCACCCTGGGAGGCGAAGTGCCAACAGAAACTGTGGCAATCGTCAAAGAGGTTCAATAAGATGGCGCACACCGCTCATGAGACCGCCTGGATCACCATCTTTGTCAAGCCCATGGACGACCCAATTCTCGTGACGTGGCGCGATGCAGCTTGAAAGGTACGAAAGTCACAAGGTTGCCAAGGTGGCATGATCCTGGCCATGGAGGAGCATAAAATTCTGGATGGCCAGCGCACCGCGGTCACCGTGATCCAACCCTCAGGAGGAGGAGGCCAGACGGCCCAGAGAGGCGGGAGAGGCGAGAGGAGCGGGACAGGGACGGGCAACGCCAGATCCCAGCTCCTCGGCTAAGAAACTCAACTTCCGACTTAAGACAACCTGCCGCAGGCAAGAAGGAATGCACACCAGGCACCGCGCCTTACGCAGGAAGGGCCGCGCTGCCACTATACAGGGCCTGCTCCAGGATGCAAAGAATACCACTTGTGACGTCGATCGTCGATGAACGTGCTTTGTACCTGTCTTGCCTTCGGGGCAGTCCAACCCAGGCGGCACGCTCAAGTAGTGCGACCCACGGAGACGTGGAGAAGGCGCGTGCTCGAGAGAGAGGTATATATATATATATATATGCTAGAACCATCGCGCGCGCTTCGCGCGCGATCAGGTTCCAGCCCAGGCCAGGGGGGCACTGGACGATCTTGGACGTCGCTATCAAGCACAGGCGCGCGACGGCATCTGAGGAGCTTCTGCGGTGTTCCGCATGCTTCGTCAACTGGCTGTTGGAGGCACCTCTTGGGTGCTTCTTGGGGAGCGTCTGAGGGTCCCTTGGGGGCATCGGTTCTGCAATCTGAAGCCGTCATTGGCCGTCTTGGCTGCGTGGAGGCCCGACTTGAGGCCACCTGCGGCCAGATTGAGGCAATCTGGAAGCCTCCCGGGGGCCTCCTGGAAGCAGTTTTGACGCATCGAGGGTACTCTTGGGCTATTTTAAAACCTCTTGGACGTCTCCTAGGGGCCTTTTTGGGCCCTCGGGAAGCTTTTGGCGTCCTCGTCGGACCACTTGAGGGCCTCCTGTGGGTCTTTTGGGGGGAGCGCTCTGCTGTTGGGTCGCGTTCCCCTTCTTGGGCCTCTCTTGGGGCACTTGGGGCCCTCTCGGGCCGTCTTGGGCGCCTCAAGCACCGTTTTGGGGCCCTCGCGGGCCGTCTTGGGGCCCTCTTGGAGGCCTCTTCCTCTATATTGGAGCGGTATTGGAAGCCTCTTGGGCCGTCTTGGAGCATCGGGATGCCAAAAGGCCCAAAAAAAAAAAAAACAAAAAACAAAAAAAAAAAAAAAAAAAAAACAAAAAAAAAAAAAAAAAAAAAAAAAAAAAAAAAAAAAAAAAAAAAAAAAAAAAAAAAAAAAAACGTCGAAGCCCAATCGTAAAACAATGAGTTGTGCCTCTTGGGGCCACCTTGGGAGATCTCTTGAAACCTCGTCGGCCCTCTTGGGAGCTTCTTGGGGGCCTCTTGGATCCGATTGGGGGCCTCTTGGGACTTCCCGAGAACCTCTCGGGGTAGAAAGCTCGGATTCTCGGTTCGTGCTTCCCTTCTTGGGCCTCTCTTGGGGCCGTCTTGGGGCCCTCTCGGGCCGTCTTGGGCGCCTCGGGCACCGCCTTGGGGCCCTCGTGGGCCGCCCAGGGCCCTCGTGTAAGCCTCTTCGGCTATCTTCGAGCTGTCTTGGAGACCTCTTCCTCCTCCTCGCCCCCCTCCTCCTCCTCCCACTCCAGCTCTCTCTCCTCCTGATCTTCCTCCTCCTCCTGCAGCGTGTTCCGGAAGGCTCCCGCCGGAACATGCTGTGCACAAAGCTGTCACTGCTCCCGCCACCGTGCCCTGGGTGGTGGGTCAGAGGCCTCATGGGTGTTGGTTTGGATCTCGTGGTTGGCCTGTCGGGGACGTCGTGAAGACAGTTTCGCAGCTTCTCGGTAGCCGTTTTGGGACCGTTGTGGGGCCTCCTCGGGGCTGTTTTGTGGCCTCTTTAGGCCTCGTGTGGGCCTCCCGGGTGCCTCTTGGGGGCCTCCTGGGGCCTCTTGGGGGCTCCTTGGAACCTCCTGGGGCACTCTTCAAGCCGGAGGGTCGAATTTTGGAGTCGTGGTCCCCCTCTTGGCCGCATCTTGGGGCCGTCTTGGGGCTCTGTTGGGCTGTCTTGGGCGACTCTGGGGCCCTCTTGGGGCCCTCTTGGGCCGTCTTGGGGCGCTCTTGGGGGCCTATTGAGCCGTCTTGGAACGTCGGACAGCCGAAAAGGCTGGAAGGCCAAAATCGTTCGAAAACCTTCGTAAAATTGACAAGTTCGGCCTCTTGAAGCGCTCTGGAGAGGCGTCTTGAAGCGTCGTGGAGTGCCTTGGGGGGCCTCTCGGGCCGAGTTGGGCCTATCTTGGGCGTCCTGGAGCGGTCTTTTTCGTCCAGAACGCGCTTGGGCAAGCGCTGGGTTTGGGGGAGGCGAGTGGGAACCGTTCAGGCAGCTTGGGATGATCGGGGCAAGAGGCGGAAGCCATCCTCATAAGACATGCAGTCTTCCTGGAGTCCGCCGGAACGCCTGGAATGATCACGCGCTGCGGTTTCCCATGCCAACGTCCTCGGACGTGGGCGCCCTGCCACGAGCGCGTTCCGGGAAGATGCTCCAGGAACGCGCTGAAAAGATCTCGAGGCTCCCAGGTGGCCTCCAAGAGACCCCAAGAAGTCTGATAGGTATCACGGTACGGCCCGAAGAGGCCAAAGTCGTATAGGTTCAATGGTCTTTTCAATGTTTTTGGCTTCTCGCGTTTTCGAGCTTCCAACGGTCCAAGAGCGCCGAAGAGTCTCCCAAGACCGGCCCAAGACCACCCAAGAGACCCTCAGGACGGCCCCAAGACAGGCCAAGAAGGCTCCAAGACTGCCGAAGAGGCGCCCAGCACAGCCCCAGACCACCCCAGAACAGGCCCACGATGGGCCCAAGAGCGGGAGCAGGAGGCTTCCAGAGACATCCGAGAGGCCTCCGGGACCCCCCAGAGGCCCCCAACACCCCCCCCATCCTTGAGAGGCCCCAAAGAGACCCCGACGAGGCTCCAAGAACAGCCCAAGAGAGCTGCGAGAGCCGTCCCGAGAGAGCCCAAAGAGGGTGACATCGTTGATTTCCAATGGTTTTTCCTATGTTTTTCGCCTGCTCACGTTTTCCCGCTTCCAGCCCTCAAAGATCGACGATTGGGTGAGAGAAAAAAAGGAATTCTAAGAATTCTTTGTTACATCAAAGTAGAACTCCTACACAGGGGGTCCTACATATCCCCTGACATCTGGCGGGAAATTACCGCGCCTCCCGGCTTCTGAACGTTGTCGCGGAGTCTCCGAAGGCCCCAAGGAATCCGGGAATTGTGGATTTGGGTGAGATGCTCATCCATTCAGGACTCAGGACAGTATGCCCGGGCCCGGGCATACTGTCCAGGCCATCCTGAGCGCGCGCT